CACTTTACTCTATATACGGATCATCAAGCCTTGACTCACTTCCATACACAAAAAATAGCCAACACTATGATGATAAATTGGTTAGATACAATTCTGCAGTACGACTTTACAATCGTTCATTTGCCTGGTGTAGATAATATCTTACCAGATACTCTTTCTCGTCTCTTTGAAGTAAACCACCCTACAAATGAACTGGGAGGGGATAGTGCTCGCATCTTGAATAGATCAGCAGAAATAATATTACCCAGTATAGATAGTGGTGAGTATATGACACCAAGTGAGCCTCAAGAACGACGAGATCTTCTTGAAAAAGAACATTTAAAAGGTCACTTTGGTTCAGATGCAATATATAATGCATTAAAAAGAAAGGGAATCTACTGGAATAACCTAAAGAATGAAGCAGTAGATTTAGTAAAGAGTTGTACTTCCTGTCAACAGTTTAACATCATAAAGAAAGGCTATAATCCTTTAAGACCTATTACTGCTACTTTACCAGGTGACAGTTGGGGTATTGATTTGGCTGGCCCTATAAAGACTTCCTTACAGGGTAATAACTACTTGTTAATCATGGTTGATATTGCTACTAGGTTCTGTGTATTAAGACCTATTCCTGACAAGACATCAATGACTATCGTAAAGGAACTTGTTGATCTGTTCTCTCATTATGGACTCCCTCGTGTAATCCAATCTGACAATGGTACTGAATTTGTAAATGAGCTTATGAAGCTACTGGCTGAAAATGCTGGTTTCGAACATAGACTCATATCCAGTTATCATCCCAGAGCTAATGGTGTAAGTGAACGATGGATACAAAGCTCTGTGAATTGTATAAAGAAACAGATTAATGGTGCTGTAGCAGACTGGGACCTATATGTTCCAACCACACAACTCTACCTTAATACTAAGCATAATGAGCGCACTAAAACTCCTCCCTTTACTCTGATGTTCGGTCGCAATGCTAATGACTTTGAAGACTTCAGTCAGGAAAAAAGTAAAGATACGCAAAAAGAAATAAATAGAAGATTACTGGGGAACATCAAAATGATGACTGAGATTGTATTTCCAGCGATCTATGAGCGTACAAAAATAATAACTGGAAAACAGAAGGAGAAGTTCGACGCTACACATAAGCTTATTGAAATCCCCGTGGGTGCCCATGTGATGATAAAAGTTAACGGTAAAGGTAACAAGCTTGATCCCAATTATATGGGAATGTACACTGTGAAAAGAAAGAACACAGGAGGATCGTACTTGCTTGAAAATGAGATGGGAAAACTAGAACCTAAGAACTTCCCTCCTTCGTTACTTAAAGTTGTATCACAGGATCCATTAACATCAACAAACCAATTTGAGGTTGAAGCAATAGTAGGGCATGTTAAAGAGAAGAACAGATACCTCTATAATGTCCGATGGAAAGGATATACTGAAGATGATGATACGTGGGAACCTGCTGGAAACTTCACTGATCCTAGATTCATAACTGAATATTGGCAAAGAATAGGACAGGTACCAGAAGATCTCACAAGAATAGATAGATCAAAAGATAAGGAAACAACAGTGAAGTCCATCAACCAATCAGGAAAAAGGTTAAGATCATCTAATCTTAACAATACTACTTCCTCTTCTAAAACAAATAATGGTACAAAGACTAAAGGGAATGGTAGTAAAAGATCTAGACGGTATTAATCACACCTGGGAGGGGATTATGTTGTAGAATAGGAACTAGTCAGGCAGTTAAGCATATACAAATAGTATGTACTCCGGCGTATAATGATAAATAAGGATATTAAGTGTGACAGCATGTCTACTGATCACAAACAATAAGTGATAATCCATAATTCTTATACATCTCCATACTGGCTTTATATTTACCTCAACCAAGTGAGTTGATAACTCCTATACTTCCATATCAGTTACGGGATTCATTCTTAATTATAGTGAATCAATAACCATGACCAATGATCTAAATTCTCCCACACATCCTGTACTCGCCTATCCTAATCATTCTTATCCTCCATCATCTATAGGTTCATTTCACAGTTACTCATCCATAAGCCATCTTAAAGAACATGTGGAATCATCTGTCATGTCCTTGTCGCTTATTCAAACAAGACAAGGAAACATATAAATACAACAATCATCTCAAGAGATTAAACGGGGTCTTTTCCTGACAGAAGATACTTTTATTATTAACTTTATTCTCACAATAAATACTAGTCTCAAAAAGTATTCCTTGCTGTCTCTATTATCTATTTCATACATTTATACTCTTTATTAAATTCCATTATATTTCATAGTTATCAAGTCGACAATTAACAGGATGTATACTGATAAGGTGTACCTGGAGTGCCCATTATGATATTGTATGTTCAGTTCAAATATTGGTGATGCTCGGTGGTGATCCATTTTGATCGTCGTGTACCAGAGGGTGAAGTCAATATTAGATCTATTATCTTCAATCGGTATTAGTAAGATAGACAGGCGTAAACTGGTTTTCATCATCCATATCATTAGTTTGTACTGCTATCCAAGATTGAGATATTGTATGCCCAGTCTATGTTTCGCTGTTAACGAGTGTGAATCCAGATTAATTAGAGTATGCCAAATTCCATTATATATCTCTCCACGGATACTCAGTCAATACTCAAGAGAGATAGATGAACGACAGGTCATTCTGTATGCATATACGAAGAGTCTATAATACATAACACCGATTCAAATATTGTAAGGCAACAGTAATTTCCCATGGCATCCATACTTCTATACATAACCAACCTTTATCCTCATTCTATGCATATTGATCTTATTTATGTCAGTATTATCACTTATCCCCTTAATAGCAACTACTTACAAGTACAATTTAATCGGACCATATTATGTATTGTTATTCCATAGCTGTATATACTGTTTATCAACGAGTGTTTGATAATGCTTTATATGCCAACCTTCGCTACACTATGTCAAAATATGTGTCAGCAATTACTCGTGTTAGATATTCTGTAGTTATTTTTTTTTACCTCATAAACAGAAGAGAGAATAGTCGGTCAACATGTCCTCATTCCACCTGATCCCATCCTGCATCACTGTGTACTTTATCATCTTCAAAGGGTGCACCTGTATTTAGTTGTTCCTACTTGCACTGCATTCATACTCTGACTAATTATATCGACGTACTCTATCGTTGTCTATGTTCAGTTCTCCTGATAAGTGAACTGTGATGTTCGACATTCCCATCACTGACACCGTAGAAATCTAAATATGTGTGTGAGAGTTTGTTTATCTATTTTTATTTTTAACCTTTTCTTTTTTATTATTTTTTTGTTTTGTATTTACTATATATTTACCCTGAGTTGATACATATATCCACTTCCACTGTATGTTCCCAGTCTACTGAACAACTGATCTCCACACTCATTCAACCCCATCAGACACTGCATCACTAAAAATACTCTCAGTATTTATGTATATTATGGATGCTGTATACAGTTCATACATCTTTTAGACTTCTCATATTGTTACAACATATATCCATTAAACCATCTGCTCGACTGCTGCTGTCCCAATGACTGCGCATTCTACTTCTACATTCCCCATCATCAACACCCTGGTATAATATTTGTATCAGTGTTTATTTTGCTTCTTCTTTATTCTCTATTTATCTACCTTGTCTTGTTTCCGGTATCCACTTTCACTTTACACCCTCTGTATATATTAATCTACATACTCAATCAACTTCATCTACCACTGCATTACCAAGAATATTGTCAGTATTTATGAATATCTTTATTATTGTATACAGTTCTTACTTTTTGTTTATATTCTCATATTGTTGTCGTATTCTGTATAATATACTGTATGTTCAAGTATTTTAGAACTAATGACTGTGCATTCCAGGTATAGATCCACATAACAGACACCAAGCATATTCGTTATTAGTATGTGTTATTGTCGTTTACATGGTCCCTACTAAAGTGAAAGTGAAAAAGAGGGGATATTCGGAAAATGAAAAAAATAAAGACATAAATAATCTGTCCGGGCAAGTTAATGATATAAATAGACAGAATAAATTGATGGAGCATTTGAACAGCTCACAATTTGGCATTTTCTATTTCGAAATTGAAATACAAATTGTAAAAGAGCTATAAAGTACATTATACATCCTTTTTTTATACTTTAAACAGTACCAAGACATATTAAAGAACCTCATTAACAACATATCTCACTTTCAGCATTCGAATCAAACCTTCGTGTATTGACATTAACTTTGGCATTCCAACTGCTTATAAGCAGTACGATTCGATTGGCTAGCTAGCTTTTAAAAACACTATTCCCAACCGAATATTGGTTCAGGCCATTCTCGTAGGTCCAAATCTTTCATAGTGTAAAAAGCACGTAGTAAGTTCTTATCAACTTACAACCGAGGATACATTAAAAAATCGGTAAATTATGTTAAATTGCATAATAATAGTATTTTAATATATTAGTTTTTAATAGTATATGTATCAATATTCATAAGAGTACCTATTTTTAACTGTAATAAAGATCATACCCTTTTATTGAGTTCTATCAATTCCCTTTTGTTTTTATATAAGTTTTATCTACCAGATAAATCAATAAACACCTATTGTCCCCTATATTTTATCAGGTTATACAAATACTGCTTATTAAGAAATGACATAGCAATAATTATCAATCAAATCAGGTGGATCATTAGCAATCAAAAGAACACACGCAATATTATAAATCACAGAACATACAATAGATTATAAAGAACTAACATATACACTCTATACATTATCTGACTAAGAAGCTGTCATACTTCTTATTATTAATCATAACTTAGCCCTTTGTAAAAACATATAAATACCCATCATCTTTTATTCAATAAACGACATATTTTACCTACCACTTAAATAACAAGTACCTTACATACAAAACTTATAACCACCTATTAAGAAAGGTGACACGCCTTTCATTCACCAAAAATATTTTTGTGGATTTAGTGTCAGTGGGGTTTGAACCCACGCCCTCTTACGAGGATCTGATCTTAAGTCAGACGCCTTAGACCACTCGGCCATGACACTATCAACTGTTTGTCGATGCCCAAATAGATGGTCAGCCATATATGGAAAGCTTGTTCCCTCACGTGCCTCCCCGGACCAACAAGCGTAAGTTCAAGCCGAAGATTCCAACTCGCAAGCGCTCAAGTAGAAAGGTCACACAAGATACCCGGTTTGTAGACAATCCTTCAGACTCCAGCGATTCTGGTACTTTCCAGTAGTCTCTGTATCACACTCATTCCACTCCTTCTCGATACTTCTTTATGCAAAGCTATATTCTAGTTTGTTCTCTTCTAGCTTCTTCTATACCACACATGTATACTTCTCGCTATTTCCATTGTACCAAATGTATTATATAAATATCCCCTCAAGTTAATGGAAATAAACATCATCTTCTTAACTCTTAATTATCTTTGATATTTGGTTTACTTTTGATATTTGTTCTTTGGTTATATTCGTATTTATTCATTTCCTGTTCTGGTCTCTGGTCTCTCTGAAATTTACATTGGTAGCATTTGGTTGTTAATTTTGCAATTTATACTCTCGACATTGGTTACTCTCACAATTACTAAATATGGCAAACGAAATCAAGTCTTCTTCCTCTAAACCCTTAGATGCTATGGCACTTATTGAACGTATGGTGGAAGCCATAGAAAGAAACTCAGGCAACAAAGCCCTACTAAACACTCCCCCCAATTTTGATGGTACTCGAGATGCCTTCGTCATTGATAGCTGGATAAGATCTGTAGAACGATACGCTAATGGTCAAGGCTGGGATGATACCAAAACCGGCAAATACGCCATTAATCTTTTTAAAGGACGCGCCGATGCATGGTACAGATCTATAGAACCCCTTCATGATCAAGAGCCCCATGGTTGGACCGAATTGAAAAGACTTCTAATAGCTTTCTTCCGCCCTGAAGACTCTGTACTACTTGCTCGTGACAGGATGGCTGTTCTTAAACAGACCGGTGATCTCCCCACTTTCATTAACAAGTTCATGGATCTCAAGCTCTCTATCCCGGATATGCATGATAGTGAAGCTAGAGATAAGTTTGTGCGTGCTTTGAGTGACCCTCTTATGAGGTCACATCTAAGAAGAACTCGCCCCGAAAACCTCCAAGAAGCGATTCATGATGCTCTCTCTTTTGATGCTGGTGAAGAAAATAGACTGCCTGTACCCCGTCGAACTCAACAATTTATTAATGACCCTATGGATATCGACCTCATGGATGACATGCATGCTATGGATGACAGGCGTAGATTCAACAATAACGGTAGATATAACAACAGTAACAACTTCAGGTACAACAACAACATGAGGTACAGCAACAATAATAACAGAGCTAGTAATGGAAGCAACAACAATAACATCACCTGCTATTACTGCAACAAGCGTGGACATATCAAAGCCCACTGTCCTGTTCGTCGTATGGATATTAAGGCATTGGATGAAAATAGGCAGAGACAAAACAAACGGGATTTTCAATAAACGTGGTTGAAGATCGGGAAGCACAACCACGTAGCACACAAAGACTTCCTTATAATAATACACATTCCCCTTCCCCTACTTATAATAACAATGATAGTAATGAAGACAATAAACTAATTGATATTGATCCTTATTCTTCTAGTTCCATTTTAAGTGAAAAGAAATATCCTGTTCTGAGACCTCAAAGTGTATTCTCAAACCGTATGGCTTTATTAAGAAAGGCTTGTGATAAGACTTACTTACCTGCAAGACTGGAATCTGTATCACACACTCAAGATGAATACAAGGACCTGAAGCACTTACAAGAACTGAACTCTATTGATACCAAATTACCGGTTTACTCGGCTACTACCTCTGGTGAAACCGTTAATGTCCTGATTGATAGTGGTGCTTCCGAGAATTATGTATCTCCTAAGATTGCCCGTTTAGCTGATCAATTTACCCCGGTTAGGAACAGACAAGTTGAAACTGCTGGCGGTGAAGTTATCTCTATTGAACACAAAGTCTGTATGAACATTGATTTGAATGGATACAAGGACCGGATTACTGCCTATGTGTTTCCCAACAAGTTTGGTTTAATTCTCGGTCGATCTTGGTTACAGTCAAGTAATGCTCAACCTGATTGGATTAGTGATGTCTGGACCCTCCGTCAACATGGAATGGAAACACATCTGTCACCTAATAATAAGGATACACAATTACCTGACCTCGCTTGTCCTCATTTGAACTATCTAATCTCGCACAAGCAAACTGAACGCCTACTAAAGACTCATCAAGCTACAGGTTACTTAGTTTGTATTAAAGATACTACCGAAGGACAAATAGGCTCTGAATTGTATAGTGTGACATCTGCTACTCAAGATAGCTATTGGACTGGACTGGTGAAACAGTATGATGATGTTTTCCAAAACACGTTACCTGGGCTACCACCGGATCGAAACGTCCAACATGTCATTGACACTGGTGATGCAAGACCTATCAGCAAGTCCCCTTTCAAGATGAGTCCTGCTGAGTTGGATGAACTGAGAAGACAACTGGACGAATTGCTTTCCTTGGGTTTAATCAGACCGAGTACTTCTCCTTGGGGTGCTCCGGTTCTGTTTGTTAAAAAGAAAAACGGTGAAATGAGAATGTGTATCGACTACCGCGCTCTGAACAAGGTTACTATCAAGAACAAGTACCCATTACCAAGAATCGACGAGTGTTTGGATAGGCTACATGGTGCCTCTTACTTTACTA